CATTATGTATTTTTCATTGGTTTTATTTGTGTCATTATTTCACTGAAGTAACAACTGTTTACTTCTTTACTTCAGTGATGATTCCGGTCACGTGTAAACTACATGCATGTGTTTTACAATGAAGTAGTGTTTTCAAAGCGTCCATCATTTATATCTGTGTTTATTCTGCTCTGCTGGTTGGAGTTTTTCAGATGTTCAAACTGGGCCTCATGCACAATATTTGAACAGCACTTTTTGAATGAACAGTCAGTAACGTTAGCGGAGCTGCGGCTAATCTAATCGCTATTTGAATCTGTTGACTGACAAAGAGGTAAATGTTAGCTGTGTTAGTTATATTTTTAAAATAATCTGTGTTATGTATTGTATGATAATAAGGTCAGCATCACACACAAGCTGAGCACTGATGGAGCTGCTCTTATTGGTCTGAATGCAGTTGACTTGAACTGAGTCACCTACCAGGTTTTGAAACGACCCTGTAGAAAAACTTAAGACTCAGGGCTTCATTCCTGTCTGTGTTGTTTTTCCATTTTTGTGTTCCTAACGTTTAGATATATATTGCACTTGAAAAAAAGATGATAGGGTTACAATTTATTTATATTTTAAAATAAAACAATCAGTTATTTTAATAATTACATCTTCTTGATCCATCAGTTTGGCAATATTGCTTTTTAAATGAATTATCTAGAATTCCAAGCACCACAGAAGAGCTCGTCCCCACAGTCATGTGTAAAGGCTGAGGCCATATTTTGAGGTTAAAAAACATGTTTCTGCAATTTTAACTGCAATAATCTATACATGACTATGAAATATATGATTTAAAAGACATAAAGAAAACAAAGGCCAAATAAATATTATACAATATATAATGAAAGTTGTGGTCCCCAGTCGTGTCACTGGTGTTACTGCATAACAAAAATCTCTTATTTTGAAATAAAAATCACACTGATGACATCACTTGACTTCCTTTTACCTATTTTCTGAGGGTCTATGAAGAAAAACACATGGTCAGTCCACTGTGTCTTTCAGTTATCAGAGATTTTCTCATTTAGCTCATGATTTCATATGAAGCTTTTAGTTGAAGTCACTGGTGTGACCGACTTTATTCTTAGGTAATTGTGAAAAAATAGAAGACAAATGGATTAAATTACATGTTGTAGTGGAGATTCCATGATTGACGACATGTGGTTTGATGCTCTGTAGCAGCCGTTTTGTAAAATGCATTTTTCATTAAAAATGTCTCTGGTGTTACCTTTCTTATGTGTAACACCAATGAGGGTTGGTAACACCAGTGACTCCTATGGATAGACGTTTCTGTAGAATGGCCCGATTACATGAATACATACAATATTCAAACTAGACACCCGGCATCCTTTCTTTGCTGCAGGTTTATTAAGACTTGGGCTCAATGTCTGAGCTGCTGAGCTGACGTTTGGTGTGTATATTAGTTGAACTGCAGATGAAATGCAGTTAGTGTGTTTGGTGATATAACTGGTGTGGAATTGTGTAGAACTGAGGTGTAAACACTCTTATATAGACTGTGGTCGGGGTAGGAGTGTCAGAGCACACATTATGTTGCAGTGCATGCTGGGGACTGTAGTAAAGCACTGACTTTGTGCAACCAGCTAAATTTTAGTAGCTCGTAAACCTGAGCAGAGTTGGCAGCTTACGTTCAAATCTACGTTCTTATGTCTTTTTAGTGCAAAACTCTTTAATTCTGTAGTGTTTTTTAAAAAAGCAGAAAGTGAGACACCAAACTGCCAATCAGAGCTTTTATATCAGAAAGGCTATTTTGCAGAACGTTATAGAGGACAATACAATAGTAGCCCACTTATTGGCCCGTATTCAGACAGTGATACAGTAGATACATTCAGTATATATGAATATGAATTAAAGTATACATTAATACATTTGCAGGTTTATTAAAGAATATATGATGTGTTTTAACCAATATGTAGACTAATAAACTAACAATTTGAGAATCCTCTGTAGCAGTGATTCCCACCCCAGGTCCTTGAGGACCCCCTGCCCTGCACACTTTACTGTTTTCCTGCCAAAAAACATCCACTTCAAGTCAGCAAGGCCTGGTTAATGAGCGGATTTGTTGGATCAGGTGTGTTGGGAGCAGGAAGGACACTAAAATGTGAGGGGCTAGTAGATCCTCCAGGACCAGGACTGGAGCCACTGCTTTATGGATTGTCCACTTTAAACTGTTAAACAGTCTGGCAAACGTCATTCCCTACAACATCACACTTAGGCTTAGGATCGTATTTAATTTTGGGGGGAAGTTAGTTTCAGCATTAAATTTAGGTTTTGATTTCAAAGAATCTGTTACAAGACAAGACAAGGTGAGCATCTACAGAAGATCTATGGTGGACTATTGACCAATAGAAGGACAAGTGCTCATATGGAGAGAATCTTTAGTAATAATCGAATTCCTCTTCATCTTCTTCCCATTGTGTCGGCTCTCCTCAGTCATGGTTTCCTCCTCTGCGTGTCAGCCTGGCCTTCAGTAACTCAATGAACTCTTTATAACACACAAGTTCACACACAGTAAGCACATTCTGACTAATAATTCAGGATAATTAAGTCTTTTCTGTGATAAACCTGCTAAAACATGAACAAATTAGACAAAGCATTTTTTCAATTTTGATGCCAGTTGGTTCTTTTGGCTGCTTTAAAGCAACAGATTCAGCCAAGTTGAGACATGTTTGGGGTCTGTAATGAGCTGCTTTAAGAGCTACGATATGAGGGATGTATATGTGCCAAAATAATAAATAAATAAATTAATTAAAAAATGCGTGGAATAAAAATTGAGCTTTTCTTAGGTTATTGAAGTGTGTAATAAAACTTTGGGCGGTGGGGATTAACCAATAGTGTGTAGGTTTGGCCTTCCTCATTAGCATACTGGAGTTTTTAAACACTGTGTCCACTCACTGTCCACTCATTAGACACTCCTACCTTGTCGGCCCACCTTGTAGATGTAAAGTCAGAGACGATAGCTCATCCTCTAGTCCTTCATCAGTGGTCACAGGACGCTGCCCACAGGACGCTGTTGGCTGGATATTTTTGGTTGGTGACTATTCTCAGTCCAGCAGTGACACTGAGGTGCTTAAAAACTCCAGAAGCACTGCTGTGTCTGATCCACTCAGACCAGCGCAACACACACTAACACACCACCACCATGTCAGTGTTACTGCAGTGCTGAGAATTATCCACCACCCAAATAGTACCTGCTCTGTGAGGGTCCATGGGGGTCCTGACCACTGAAGAACAGGGGAAAAGGGGGCTAACAAAGTACGCAGAGAAACAGATGGACTACAGTCTGTAACTGTAGAACTACAAAGTGCACCTATATATTAAGTGGAGCTGATAAAATGGACAATGAGTGGAGAAACAAGAAGGTGGTCAGAATGTTATGCCTGATCGGTGTATATATCTATAGAAATATAGAAACAGGTAAATATAATATGAATAAATAAATACATACGTAAACAAATGTAGAATAAATACATAAATAAATAATTTCTTTATAGCGTTGTTTTTTTCACTTTTGGGTTTGTTTATTTGTTTATTTTTTTATTTATTCGTTCTTTTTTTTTGGTACTTTTGTACTTTTGTCCTCAATGCAACAACGCCAACAAGGCCTTATGTAGACCAACTAGCATCATGCTAACTGCATGTGTAAGTGATCTCTAATAGACTCACTTATATGGTTTCTGACACTGTATGACACACTGTTATCTATAAACATGGACAAATTCAGGCATTAAGATGTTTATAGATAAGTGTGTCATACAGTCTACAAGAAACCACGTAAGCGTGTCCATCAGAGATTACTGCACCGTCACACTCACTGCAAACTCACCATTATCATCTGACAGTTGTTCTTCTGAATTTGTAATCCGGACGATGATGAAATCGGCATGATAGGCATATTTGAAGAACAACACCCAAAAAATACAAAAAGAAAACAGTTATTGCACAACGAATTGAGCATCCTGTCATGTTCTTACTAACTGTGTGTATAGGAGACGGTAAGAAGTTCACCTCTATCATTCCTGTTTCCACTAACTGTTCAAAATGTCTGTATAATGAAACCATTAGAATGTAAACAGAGTCATTTAGAGTGGTTTGGTGTGAAATGGTTCATTGTAGAGACTTTCTTTACAGAGACTATTTTGCCTCACAACACGTTCCTTTTCACTATGAACATGTTTATAAAAATGCATTTCAGGCCAAAACCTGCTCAAAACTATCATAAATCATACTAATCAGTGTCCCAGGAATCGGCCAATTTCTTGTAATGACTTTCTGTGAGGGAGCTTTCATTAAACTCTTCAGATGTCTGGTTCCCATCACCACCACTGTGAACAATTCTGACTCAATAAGTTTCTCATGCCACACTAAAGCACTCTGAACGGCCCTGTTTACATTCTGAAGACTTGATGACGCAGGATATTTTAGTCATCTGTGGAATTCACCTTTTAGGCTTATTAACCATTAAACACAATGAATTATACTGTAAATATATCAAATTAATGCATAAGTTATGAGAGTGAGGAACTGAAGTCTGGACGAGCCACTGTCTCTACAGAGCTGTAGACATTAAACAAATACTCTGCCCATACAGACCTTCACACACTCCTATATTGGCTCCGAAGTGTCCTCTGGTCACACACTTTAGCCCCAGGTCGCACTCCCCATCAGTACCGAACGGGCCTCCGCAACTCTCTTTCTTCTGTTTGGCACACTCGTAGCAGCAGCCACAGGGTCCCAACACTTTCCCACCAGGACACAGCAGCTCCTGGCATTCAAATTCAGAACAGGGTAAACATATAAGCGCCCAGCTGTTCTCCACCAGCAGCAGCAGCAGAACCTGAGAGATGAGCGTGAGTTTCAGGGAGGACATTGTGGAGGCTCAGTAAACTGAACGAGTAACTGTGCCAGGTTCCTTTTCTGCTTACTGTGACGTTCTGCTATGTGGCCACGCCTGAAACTCTGCCTCTTACTATGCCTGGATGTTTCCAAGGCTAGGCTTACTTGCAGAGGTGGGTAGTAACTCTTTCCATTCATTTCATCTAATTCCATCCATTCATATATATATATATATATATATATATATATATATATATATATATACACATTCTCAAATACATAGTTATTAACATTTGTGATAGATCTGTATTTATTTATTTACTTTTTTGCATGTGTACTTAAGTTTGTTTTGTTTTAGAGATGCACTGATAGGAATTGCAGACTGATGCTCAGATCCAATATTTTTCACACAAACATCTGTACAAATCTGAACATTGGTCATATCTGTCCAATGCCAATATTTGTTTGTCATGTGCTGATCTTTCATGCGGGGTCCCACAAGAGTCCATCCTTGGTCCTATTTTGTTTCCGTTTAAATGCTCCCCTTGGGAAATTCTAAGATATTGTTTTTTACGCCAACCATACACAGCTTTATCTCTCTGTAAAGAGGAATGATTTCAGCAGATTAGAAAGTCTTTCTGAATATATTCAAGTTATTAAGGATTGGATGGCCTGTGATTTCCTTAAAGTAAATAAGGGGAAATACAGACGTACTGGTTCTGGGTCCTCAAAATGTCGCTAGCAACTTAAAGAAGGAGCTTGGTTCACTGGCCACAAGGATGCTTCGTTATGCTAGAAATTTGGGCATCATTTTGGATTCAGAACTAAATTTCTCAGTGCATGTAACAAAGCTCGTACAGGCTTATTACTTTAAATTGAGGGATTTTTATCTATACATTTATGGCATTTGGTAGATGCTGTTATCCAGAGAGACTTACAACTTGATCATAACACAGGTAGTGTTAGGAGTCTTGCCCAAGGACTCTTATCGGTACAGTGTAGGGTGCTTACCCAGACGGGGGAATCGAACCCCTGTCTATAGCATAGAAGGCAGAGGTGTTACCCACTACACTACACACACCTTTTCATCTTTCTGCTGTGAAGCACTTTGTAGCCTGACTTAGAAAAGTGCTATGTACATAAATAAATATTTGTAAATGTTCTTGGTAACACTTTACATTAAGGGTCGCTAATCAATCATTAATTATATAATAATCAACTATTAATTTCCCATTATTTAGTTATTAGTTAACTCTTCATTAAGCATTAGCTATTACTTAGTAATTGATTAAGCACTTATCAATTAGTAATTAAGTACACTGTTAGGTCATAAGTTAGTTTGTCGTTAGTTTGTGGCTTACTTACTCATTATCTGTGTACTAACTGCTGCTTATTACATTGTTAATTAACTAATAAGTATTTTTCTTCATATAAAGAAGTAACGTGATAACTTACTAGCACTTATGTGTTAATCCCGCTAATTATCTGTTAATTAACTTTCCATCACCTCCATATATTCAGTTGCTTCACTTTTCTCACTTTGGTTCTTGTTCATTAAAGATGCTTATGGTCACATCTGACCATAAGATGAGTGCGCACAAATTCATGGACGGTTGTTATTCATCACGTTCATCTTGGCATATCTGTACTCATATCTGGTAGGAGTGCATGTAAATTTGGGCTGAAATGCTGGACATGTGGCTAATTAACCAAAACTATTATCAACATAATCTGTAATAGCAAAAATAAGAACAACAATAGAAAATATCAATAATACTAATTTGTGTGCATGACAGTCCAGTACAAAAGTGGATGTACTTACTTTACATGCACATTGATATAAACAAGTGCTGCAACATTTCATGTTCCATTTAAAGACACATTACACTGTGCTTTTGTTTCATACTACTGACTCACAAACACAGCTTCGGTCATACACTGCAATAATACAGCGTTTATTTTAGGGAATTAACTACACTAAACAATCACTCTACTATGTTAACAACACTGAGTATTTTGTTTTATTTCACATTTTATTTTTTCCAGTTGTTTTCATTTTAATACTATTAAGTTTGGTCAGCAGGGGAGGAGTGCACTGCTGGACATCAAACTCCACCCACGAGCACGGCCATTAGCTTTCATGCCAAACACTGCCGTTTTATTGGCTGGCTACTGAAACATCACCATGAATTAGGGTGTGCTTCATGTAAATGATATGTAAATGAGGTGCTGGTCGGCTGGTTTCATGCACTGAAGCTGATTTATCATTTATGCTCAAATCTCCACTTGTTTCCACATCGTACAAAGTTGTTATGAATCAGACGCAGAGCAGTTCAAACCTTATAAAAGACAAAAAAGGTGTTCTTTTTTACGCGACTTTGATGATTAATGGGCCTTTTTCACAAGATTCGTGATTACTTCCGGTTTAAGCGTTAGCAGGGTAAAACTCACTTCCTCTCCATATAGCTACTGCAGACGCGCTGTCAGAGTGTTTAGTAGTGAACTGTAACGCTCAAACACGGAGCTACAGCAGCTGTATTTTAGTTTTCCCGCACGGTTGTGACAGTGAGAGTAAGAAGTGGACGGAAGCTCTGATTGAACTGTAAACAGAGCTGAGATGCTGTATGTTGTTTTTACTGCAGTTCTGCTGCAGCTGCTTCACATCAAGCCGTCTCTGTGTCTTTGTACAACATGCCAGCGATTTCTGTAATCTTCTGTTTTCAAAAGAAAGAAGAGCTTTTATATGTAGCATGAATTTTATAGACTGTTTATATTAAGCTAGCTATACTGGCTAGAAGCTACTGCTAATCAAACTAGCCCGGCTAACATAAAGCAGCTTTTTCAAACGTTACAGCAGAACCGCGATGCTAACATACAAGTTAAGTTAGCTAGGAGTGGCGTTTTTGATTGAGCAGTGAAAGGTGGATGTTTTCTGAAGTGCTGCTTCAAAAAATGCCATGAAACTATAAGAAACTAAGAATAATGCTGTTTGGCAGATCGCTAACATAGCTAGCCAGCTAGCTTTAAAGTTTGATGCTCGTATGAAGCTGGTGCTCCTCAGACTGCTAATGGTAGGCTAGCTAATTAGCGACTGTAGCCTGCTAGCCTACCGTAAGCTAATGCAGTTTAAACGATGTGTATCAAATAGACTTTACATATAAAAGTTTTTGTTTGTTTTTATGTCAGAAGTCGCTGCATCCTGTAGCTAAATGTGTCACAGAACCTGCTCCACATTAGCCGGCTGGTGGCAGCAGCTAAAGAAAGCTAGCTTCCTTATTTTAGGAATACAGCTACAGTTAGAAATGGCTTCTAGCGTTGCTAGCTAGCTACAGCTAAACAACGTCTACCAAATTCATACTACATAGAAGAACTTTTATTTCTTTTGAAAACAGAAATATTACAGAAATCGCTGGCATGTTGTACAACTACAGAGACACTGCTTGATGTGAGCAGCTGCAGCAGCAGTAAGTAGGGCTGCACCACACACAGCATTTTAGCTGTGTTTACAGTTAAATCAGCGCTTCCATTCACTTCCTTTTGTCATGATAGTGCACGAAAACTAACATATGTCTGTTGTAGCTCAGTATTTGAGCATTATAGTTCACTGCTAATGCTTAATCCGGACGTAATCGCGACTCTTTGTGAAAAGGGCTCATGGCCATTAGATCTTTAGATTTTGACCATTAATTACTTATTAAATTCCTCTTACTTAACCATTAATTACTGCTTTTGTGTACAAAAGCAGTAATTAATGGTTGATTAAGAGGAATTTAAGAAGTAATTAATGGTCAAAATGTAAAGATCTAATGGCCATTAATCATCAAAGTCGCGTGAACTGCTCTGCGTCTGATTCATAACAACTTTGTACGATGTGGAAACAAGTGGAGATTTGAGCATAAATGATAAATCAGCTTCAGTGCATGAAACCAGCCGACCAGCACCTCATTTACATATCATTTACATGAAGCAAACACTAATTCATGCAGATGTTTCAGTAGCCAGCCAATAAAACGGCAGTGTTTGGCATGAAAGCTAATGGCCGTGCTCGTGGGTGGAGTTTGATGTCCAGCAGTGAGTGCACTCCTCCCCTGCTGACCAAACTTAATAGTATTAAAATGAAAACAACTGGAAAAAATAAAATGTGAAATTAAACAAAATACTCAGTGTTGTTAACATAGTAGAGTGATTGTTTAGTGTAGTTAATTCCCTAAAATAAACGCTGTATTATTGCAGTGTGTGACCGAAGCTGTGTTTGTGAGTCAGTAGTATGAAACAAAAGCACAGTGTAATGTGTCTTTAATTGGAACATGAAATAGTTGCAGCACTTGTTTATATCAATGTGCATGTAAAGTAAGTACATCCACTTTTGTACTGGACTGTCATGCACACAAATTAGTATTATTGATATTTTCTATTGTTGTTCTTATTTTTGCTATTACAGATTATGTTGATAATAGTTTTGGTTAATTAGCCACATGTCCAGCATTTCAGCCCAAATTTACATGCACTCCTACCAGATATGAGTACAGATAGGCCAAGATGAACGTGATGAATAACAAAACTATCAGTGAATTTGTGTGCGCTCATCTTACGGTCAGATGTGACCATAAGCATCTTTAATGAACAAGAACCAAAGTGAGAAAAGTGAAGCAACTGAATATATGGAGGTGATGGAAAGTTAAGTAACAGATAATTAGCGGGATTAACACATAAGTGCTAGTAAGTTATCACGTTACTTCTTTATATGAAGAAAAATACTTATTAGTTAATTAACAATGTAATAAGCAGCAGTTAGTACACAGATAATGAGTAAGTAAGACATGAACTAACGACAAACTAACTTATGACCTAACAGTGTAATTAATTACTAATTGATAAGTGCTTAATCAATTACTAAGTAATAGCTAATGCTTAATGAAGAGTTAACTAATAACTAAATAATGGGAAATTAATAGTTGATTATTATATAATTAATGATTGATTAGTGACCCTTAATGTAAAGTGTTACCATGTTCTTTAAGCATACTGATATGATTCTGATACCATCATGTATTTTTCATTGGTTTTATTTGAGTCATTATTTCACTGAAGTAACAGCTGTTTACTTCTTTACTTCAGTGATGATTCCGGTCACGTGTAAACTACATGCATGTGTTTTACAATGAAGTAGTGTTTTCAAAGCGTCCATCATTTGTATCTGTGTTTATTCTGCTCTGCTGGTTGGAGTTTTTCAGATGTTCAAACTGGGCCTCATGCACAATATTTGAACAGCACTTTTTGAATGAACAGTCAGTAACGTTAGCGGAGCTGCGGCTAATCTAATCGCTATTTGAATCTGTTGACTGACAAAGAGGTAAATGTTAGCTGTGTTAGTTATATTTTTAAAATAATCTGTGTTATGTATTGTATGATAATAAGGTCAGCACACACACAAGCTGAGCACTGATGGAGCTGCTCTTATTGGTCTGAACGCAGTTGACTTGAACAGAGTCTCCCACCAGGTTTTGAAACGACCCTGTAGAAAAACTTAAGACTCAGGGCTTCATTCCTGTCTGTGTTGTTTCCATTTTTGTGTTCAATAACGTAAGATATATATTGCACTTGAAAAAAAGATGTTAGGGTTACAATTTATTTATATTTTAAAATAAAACAATCAGTTATTTTAATAATTACATCTTCTTGATCCATCAGTTTGGCAATACTGGTTTTTAAATGAATTATCTAGAATTCCAAGCACCACAGAAGAGCTCGTCCCCACAGTCATGTGTAAAGTCTGAGGCCATATTTTGAGGTTAAAAAACATGTTTCTGCAATTTTAACTGCAATAATCTATACATGACTATGAAATATATGATTTAAAAGACATAAAGAAAACAAAGGCCAAATAAATATTATACAATATATAATGAAAGTTGTGGTCCCCAGTCGTGTCACTGGTGTTACTGCGTAACAAAAAACTCTCTTATTTTGAAATAAAAATCACACTGATGACATCACTTGACTTCCTTTTACCTATTTTCTGAGGGTCTATGAAGAAAAGCACATGGTCAGTCCACTGTGTCTTTCAGTTATCAGAGATTTTCTCATTTAGCTCATGATTTCATATGAAGCTTTTAGTTGAAGTCACTGGTGTGACCGACTTTATTCTTAGGTAATTGTGAAAAAATAGAAGACAAATGGATTAAATTACATATTTTAGTGGAGATTCCATGATTGACGACATGTGGTTTGATGCTCTGTAGCAGCCGTTTTGTAAAATGCATTTTTCATTAAAAATGTTACCTTTCTTATGTGTAACACCAATGAGGATCGGTAACACCAGTGACTCCTACGGACAGACGTTTCTGTAGAATGGCCCAATTACATGAATACATAAAATATTCAAACTAGACACCCGGCATCCTTTCTTTGCTGCAGGTTTATTAAGATTTGGGCTCAATGTCTGAGCTGCTGAGCTGACGTTTGGTGTGTATATTAGTTGAACTGCAGATGAAATGCAGTTAGTGTGTTTGGTGATATAACTGGTGTGGAATTGTGTAGAACTGAGGTGTAAACACTCTTATATAGACTGTGGTCGGGGTAGGAGTGTCAGAGCACACATTATGTTGCAGTGCATGCTGGGGACTGTAGTAAAGCACTGACTTTGTGCAACCAGCTAAATTTTAGTAGCTCATAAACCTGAGCAGAGTTGGCAGCTTACGTTCAAATCTACGTTCTTTTGTCTTTTTAGTGCAAAACTCTTTAATCCTGTAGTGTTTTTAAAAAAAGCAGAAAGTGAGACACCAAACTGCCAATCAGAGCTTTTATATCAGAAAGGCTATTTTGCAGAACGTTATAGAGGACAATAAAATAGTAGCCCACTTATTGGCCCGTATTCAGACAGTGATACAGTAGATACATTCAGTATATATGAATATGAATTAAAGTATACATGAATACATTTGCAGGTTTATTAAAGAATATATGATGTGTTTTAACCAATATGTAGACCAATAAACTAACAATTTGAGAATCCTCTATAGCAGTGATTCCCACCCCAGGTCCTTGAGGACCCCCTGCCCTGCACACTTTACTGTTTTCCTGCCAAAAAACATCCACTTCAAGTCAGCAAGGCCTGGTTAATGAGCAGATTTGTTGGATCAGGTGTGTTGGGAGCAGGAAGGACACTAAAATGTGAGGGGCTAGTAGATCCTCCAGGACCAGGACTGGAGCCACTGCTTTATGGATTGTCCATTTTAAACTGTTAAACAATCTGATGAATGTCATTCCCTACAACATCACACTTAGGCTTAGGATCATGTCTAATTTTTTTTTGAGTTAGTTTCAGCATTAGGTTTAGGTTTTGATTTCAAAGAATCTGTTACATTAAACTCAAAGTCCAGTTACATATACTGGGTATGTAGATAAGGTGAGCATCTACAGAAGATCTATAGTGGACTATTGACCAATAGAAGGACAAGTGCTCATATGGAGAGAATCTTTAGTAATAATCGAATTCCTCTTCTTCTTCTTCCCATTGTGTCGGCTCTCCTCAGTCATGGTTTCCTCCTCTGCGCGTCAGCCTGGCCTTCAGCCACACCATGAACTCTTTATAACACACAAGTCCACACACAGTAAGCACATTCTGACTAATAATTCAGGATAATTAAGTCTTTTCTGTGATAAACCTGCTAAAACATGAGCAAATTAGACAAAGCATTTTTTCAATTTTGATGCCAGTTGGTTCTTTTGGCTGCTTTAAAGCAGCAGATTCAGCGAAGCTGAGACATGTTTGGGGTCTGTAATGAGCTTCTTTAGGAGCTACGATATGAGGGATGTATATGTGCCAAAATAATAAATAAATAAATGAATAAAAAAATGCGTGGAATAAAAATTGAGCTTTTCTTAGGTTATTGAAGTGTGTAATAAAACTTTGGGCAGTGGGGATTAACCAATAGTGTGTAGGTTTGGCCTTCCTCATTAACATACATAGGGTCCATGGGGGTCCTGACCACTGAAGAACAGGGTAAAAGGGGGCTAACAAAGTATGCAGAGAAACAGATGGACTACAGTCTGTAATTGTAGAACTAGAAAGTGCTCCTATATAGTAAGTGGAGCTGATAAAATGGACAATGAGTGTAGAAACAAGGAGGTGGTCAGAATGTTATGCCTGATCGGTATATATATATATATATATATATATATATAGAAACAGGTAAATCTATGAATAAATAAATAAATACGTAAACAAATGTAGAATAAATACATAAATAAATAATTTCTTTATAGCGTTGCTTTTTTACTTTTGGGTTTGTTTGTTCTTTGTTTATTCGTTCTTTTTTTTGGTACTTTTGTACTTTTGTCCTCAATGCAACAAGGCCAACAAGGCCTTATGTAGACCAACTAGCATCATGCTAACTGCATGTGTAAGTGATCTCTAATAGACTCGCTTATATGGTTTCTGACACTGTATGACACACTGTTATCTACAAACATGGACAAATTCAGGCATTAAGATGTTTGTAGATAAGTGTGTCATACAGTCTACAAGAAACCACGTAAGCGTGTCCATCAGAGATTACTGCACCATCACACTCACTGCAAACTCACCATTATCATCTGTCAGTTGTTTTTCTGAATTTGTAATCCGGACGATGATGATGGAATCAGCATGATAGGCACATTTGAAGAACAACACCCAAAAAATACAAAAAGAGAAAAAAGTTACTGCACAACTAATTGAGCATCCTGTCACGTTCTTACTAACTGTGTGTATAGGAGACAGTAAGAAGTTCACCTCTATCATTCCTGTTTGTATTTTTTATACTCCTTATCATTCAGTTGTTGGTCTTAAAAGGAAATTCCACTAACTGTTCAAAATGTCTGTATAATGAAACCATTAGAATGTAAACAGAGTCATTTAGAGTGGTTTGGTGTGAAATGGTTCATTGTAGAGACTTTCTTTACAGAGACTATTTTGCCTCACAACACGTTCCTTTTCACTATGAACATGTTTATAAAAATGCATTTCAGACCAAAACCTGCTTAAAACTATCATAAATCATACTAATCAGTGTCCCAGGAATCGGCCAATTTCTTGTAACTTTCTGTGAGGGAGCTTTCATTAAGCTCTTCAGACGTCTGGTTCCCATCACCACCACTGTGAACAATTCTGACTCTGTAAGTTTCTCAAAGCACTCTGAATGGCCCTGTTTACATTCTGAAGACTCGATGACGCAGGATATTTTAGTCATCTGTGGAATTCACCTTTTAGGCTTATTAACCATTAAACACAATGAATTATACTGTAAATATATCAAATTAATGCATAAGTTATGAGAGTGAGGAACTGAAGTCTGGACGAGCCACTGTCTCTACAGAGCTGTAGACATTAAACAAATACTCTGCCCATACAGACCTTCACACTCTCCTATATCGCCTCCGAAGTGTCCTCTGGTCACACACTTTAGCCCCAGGTCGCACTCCCCATTAGTACCGAACGGGCCTCCGCAACTCTCTTTCTTCTGTTTGGCACACTGGTAGCAGCAGCCACAGGGTCCCAACACTTTCCCACCGGGACAGAGCGGCTCCTGGCATTCAAATTCATAACAGGGTAAACATGAGAGGGCCCAGCTATTCTCCACCACCACCAGCAGCAGCAGGAGCAGAACCTGAGAGATGAGCGTGAGTTTCAGGGAGGACATTGTGGAGGCTCAGTAAACTGAACTGAGCCAGGTTCCTTTTCTGCTCACTGTGACGTTCTGCTATGTGGCCACGCCTGAAACTGCCTGGATGTTTCCAAGACTAGGCTTACTTGCAGAGGTGGGTAGTAACTCTTTCCATTCATTTAATCTAATTCCATCCATTTATTCATATATATATATATATATATATATATATATAGATATATATACATATATATATATAAATGTATATTTATATAAATGTATATTTATATATATCCTCAAATACATAGTTATTAACATTTGTGATAGATCTGTATTTATTTATTTATTTACCTTTTGCATGTCTACTGGCGTTTGTTTTGTTTTAGAGATGCACTGATAGGAATTGCAGACTGATGCTCAGATCCAATATTTTTCACACAAACATCTGTACAAATCTAAACATTGGTCATATCTGTCCAATGCCAATATTTGTTTGTCATGTGCTGATCTTTCATGCGGGGTCCCACAAGCGTCCATCCTTGGTCCTATTTTGTTTCCGTTTAAATGCTTCCCTTGGGAAATTTTAAGATATCGTTTTTACACTAACGATACACAGCTTTATCTCTCTGTAAAGAGGAATGATTTCAGTAGATTAGAAAGTCTTTCTGAATGTATTGAAGTTATTAAGGATTTGATGGCCTGTGATTTCCTTAAAGTAAATAAGGGGAAAAACAGGAGTACTGGTTCTGGGCCCTCAAAATGTCGCTAGCAACTTAAAGAAGGAGCTTGGTTCACTGGCCGCAAGGATGCTTCATTATGCTAGAAATTTGGGCATCATTTTGGATTCAGAACTAAAATTCTCAGTGCATGTAACAAAGCTAGTACAGGCTTATTACTTTAAATTGAGAATCTTTTCTTTATCTTTCTGTTGTGAAGCACTCTGTAGCCTGACTTAGAAAAGTGCGATATAAATAAATAAATGCTTGTAAATGTTCTTTAAGCTTAAAAAATATGATTTTGATTCCATCATGTATTTTTCATTTGTTTTCATTTGAGTCTTTATTTCACTGAAGTAACAACTGTTTACTTCTTTACTTCAGTGAAGATTCCGGTCACGTGCAAACTACATGCATCTACCATTTTAGTGAGGATGTGAAGCATGCCAGAGGCTGCGTTACATAACAGCACCTTGTCTGCACTTGTATTACCGGGACTAGTGTTTCTCCTTCACTGTACATTTTACTGTTTACTGTGGGGGAGATGACCTGGAGTTCATCTTATAAAAGCTTATAATAGCTTAAACCCACACTCAAGTAAAAAACAGTATTACTTAGATGACATAATATCTCAAGCAAAAAACAACTTGAGTACAGAATCAAGTAAGTAACTCATAGAACTACAGTAAAAGTTTCTAGTACAGCCAGCATCACAAAGCAGTAGGCCACAGATGCTGTCATTGGTGTAACATAATGAAATTATTGAAACATAAAAAAGGTATTAGTAACTAAATATTAAATATTTGGTAAAAGTAGATTACTTTTTAAGTCCCAAGTCAAGACACTCAAGTGCCAGGTTAAGACACTCAAGTCCCAAGTCAAGACAGTCAAATCTCATGTCAAGTCTCAAATTAAGTCCCAAGTGAAAACGGTTACTCAAAGTCAATACAGGCAGGTCTCAAATCCTCAAGTCCTAAACTTCGGTCCAAAATTACCACATAATAGAATGTGTCGCCTTCTTAAGAGATTATCAGTATTTTATTGTTGGGATTTCCAGTGCTGTGGTGATGAGTGGTATGTCAGAGTTACTGTAGAGTACCACAGGTGGTCGTTACTGCACCAGAGGGGACGCAAAAGAGCGAGGAATCTCATAGGTACAAAACTGTCCCACAAGTTCTATTCCTGGGGTGAGACTGAGCCTCATTTTGCAGAAATGGACCTTGAAACAACTAAACCATTGAAAGCAGCCAAGATTCAAAAGAGAAACTCCCTAAAAGCATGAAGAAGATCCACTGAGAGCAACATCAGCACAAGAACTCTGTGTTGGGAACTTCATGAAATGGGTTTCCGTGGCTGAGCAGCTGCACACAAGCCTAAGATCACTATGTGCAATGCCAAGCAACAGCTTGAGTCTTGTAAAGCACACCGCCACTGAACTCTGGGGCAGTGGAAACGTGTTCTCTAGAGTGATGAATTGCGCTGCACTATCTTTCAGTCTGATGGAAGAATCTCTGTTTGTTCAGTGTCAGGAGAACACTACCTGGAATGCATAATACCAACTGTAAAGTTTGGTTGAGGAGGAATAATTAGCCTGGGACTGTTTTTCAGGGTTTGGGCCTCTTTCTTCCAGTGAAGGGTGATGTTTATGCTACAGCATACAAAGACATTTTAGACAATTATATGTGGCACCAGGTTGGGGGAGGTCCTTTTCTGTTCCAGCATGACTGAGCCCCAGTGCACAAAGTGAGGTCCATAAAGGTGTGGTCCTTAAAGAAGTGAATACAAACAAGCCGTCTGAATGCGTTACATAAAGACAGAGACGCTCTGCATTAGAACACTGAAGCTCTAGAGAACCATCTGTTGACTGAACACAGAACACAG